CTCTCTCTCTCTCTCTCTCTCTCTCTCTCTCTCTCTCTCTCTCTCTCTCTCTCTCTCTCTCTCTCTCTCTCTCTCTCTCTCGCCGTTCCCACCTGCTTGCACATTGTTCCCCTTGCAGTTGCCAGTTCGCGCCTTGTTTTTTGGTTTCCTTGTTTGTTTTTTTCTTTTCTTTTCTGCTCTTTTTTTTTTTTTACATATGGCGGGGTCGGTCGCTCCCAACTCCCCTGCAACAAACCCCCATGCTAACCGGCGCATATTTGTTTTCCAAGCAGGGAAACGTACTGGTGGTTTAATTGTGAGAGGTAGCTTTGCCTGCAGGGGTCCCTTGTATAGGCTTAGGAATGGTGGGAGATAGATAGTGGAAGGTGAAACTGAGAGCAAATAATTAATAGCAATTATAATGGCTTACACGCGGTCATCATCATTATCATCATCATTGAAATCATAATCACCAGTCATCATCGTCACCATTTCAACAATCATCAATCAAGGTTACCGCCACGAAGAAGAGCCGCGCGTGCTAGAAAACTGCACGCAGCAAGGAAAATAGCGCGCGCGCGCAATTGGGTGTGCGCCCTGCGCTGAAAGTTGGACCACCGGTGGTCTATGGCGAGGAGCTGAGGTGGTCCAAATTTCACATCAAATGGTCCAGCAGATTATGAGATATCGAAGATCTAGGGCGCGCCATGAAATTCAAGTGTGTCGGGCGCTGCACTATCAGCAAGTCGCCATCAAGATTACTAGTCATCATCACTCGCGGAAAGACAATCGCCATCAATACAATGGATAATTAGTTGACATCCTCATCATCATTGCAGCCCTATGGGTGTTTAGTCATTACCATAGTGACTTTTACCATCTGCAGTATCATGATCATCAACACTATCATCCTCATTTTAGGTCAACAATTAATATTTCTTTTGGGCAGCTTCATTAGCATGCTCACCCTCATCACATTTTTTCATTAGTCGTAATTCATCTGTAGGCGAAGTTGATCGCCACTACTATCCTTAGGCTTGCTTCACTCAAATAGTCATCCATAACACTTCCATCATCATCACTACCATCATCAATACTAAAATCATCTGAAAACTTTCAGTCTCAGGGTTACCGTACCGTTTTCGGCTACCCAATTATCCAATAGTCATTAATGTTTACATCCTGATTACCTACATCTAGATTACCTATAATTTGATTACCTATATCCCGGTTACCTACTTCTTGAGGAGAATTTTCTTTATTTTGTTTTTTCACGAGTTTCCTTTTCCTAATTGGGGATTTTGAACATTGAATTTTGCAGACGCTTTAGTAGGGATAGGACTTCGGAGGTTACAGCTGGAATTTTGGTAGGCAGGGGGGTTTTGAGACCCCAGGGTACAGACATACGGTAGTTACCCACAGCAGGTCTGAGATCCGCCTGGCCTAAGTTAGGGGACAAGCCAGGGGAAGGACGGTAGGACTGTCAGCCTGGGTTCCGCCTGGCCTTGGGTAAGCTAGGGGAAGGACAAATAGGGCTGGCCAGTTGTGGGTATAAACTACTAGTTACTAGTTAGCTGTCCCCGAAAAATTAACCCTGGGGTCTGTTACAGGGGAGCCTTATTCTACAGGGGTGTTGCATGGTGGGAGGCAGTAGCCCTATTGGAAGTAGGGCAGATTGGGGATTATCTGAGTCTGGGGCCGGGGTTGGAGAGTTGGTCGCCTTCATCCCTAGTGGGGGCAGACAGGGACAAGGGGTGGGCAAAGGCAGCCTCTAGGAGGGGATTGGTTGCCTTCGCGGATGTGGTGGAGGGTGGGGAGGGGATCAGATTCTGTTTTATGTTGGGGCCGAGGGATTTTCCTCGGTGGAGGCAGCATGAGACAGGGTACAGTGGGTATGGATTGGTTTGAGCTGTGACCAATGGAAACGTATCCTTTTCACGATCTAATAAACTCGATGCGTCAAAAAAAAATCTGATAATTTCAATACAGTTCAATACTTCAAAACCAGCCACCTGCTGCTCTACAATCTTGGCAGCACCTGGTCTTCTTCTTTATTTGGGATATAGGAATTCAGGGATCGTCGAACCTAGACTGATAACTGCTGAAGTTGCT